ACAGGCTAAGTACCTTGCCAGAAGTGATGCAACTACTTGGTGGTAGAGCCAGGAATTACCGCAGGATGCCTTTCTCTCGTTTTTTTGTTTTTTTGTTTTTTTGTTTTTTTGTCTATCCTCCCATTGGGCACCACGGAAGGAGGACTTTTGCAGGTCTTGTTCACTGCTGTAGGCCAGCACCTATCATGGTCCCTGGCACATAGTAAATGCTCAATAAATAGCCACACAATTGATGAATGAATAGATAGATTTCAAAGCCCTGCCTCTGCTCCATCCCTTCCATTTTCCCGGACGTATGTGCAGGTGTAATGCAATCATCTATTAACTTGCAGCGCTCGGTGATCACGTGATCACTGCTTCAAACAGACTCCAGCTACTCAAGTTAAGACGGTATGAAGTGTCTAAAAGTCTCCTTACCTGTGCGCGCTCCTGTTGTTGTAACAGAAGTGTCCTTCAGCCCAACCAAGCAGCTCTGTCAGCTCTGCGTAGGCGAACGCACTCCGTTTCAGGCGCTACAGGCGTTTGTCCTGGGGCTGGGTTTTGTTCTGTTTCTTATTGTTTCTTGGTGGAAACCGAGCCCTCCTGTGCAATCTGTGTGAGGGCCCCGTGAGTTTTACAAAATTTCAAAACGTTCAAAACGCTGGGTTCTAGAGGGAAGACCTTAGAGCAATTACCAGGAAATGTCTTAATAGTATCAGAGCCCTGGGTCCTTTGGGGCATACTCGAGAGATAGGATATACGAGGTCTCTGAATTTGAAAATAGAAAACGTGGGAAAAGGGAAAAGCAAGGTTGCCAAATATTAAGATATTTTTGGTAAGAAGAAAAAAATTAAAAGTTCATGATTTGACCAAAGTGCGTTATTTCCCAAGATCATTTTATCATTCTCAGTGTTGGTTCCTGGGTTGTAAACCGCTCAGAGGCGGGCCGGATTAACTAACGCTCCAGCAGCTGAACATCTCAGTGTGCCTCGCGCTCACACTCTCCGCAGAGAGCTGGAGCCGGGGCTGTGCGGAGGCCCCTGAAACAGGCACCTGAAACAGGCACCTGGAACTTCTCTCAGCTTCTCTTCGGAATCCCGGAGGGGCCGCAGCGAGTCTACCGGACTGTCGTCTCGCAAGCACCCAGCACCTCGGCCCATCAGGACGCAGGCGCTCCTCCCGATTTCTTCCAAAAATCCACCAGGTGCGAGCCTCGTGGCAAGGTCCCTTCTTCCCCTCTACACCCCCAACCACTTCTCAAAGCCGTAGTCTGCGCACCTTCTCCCCTCGGCTCTTGGCTGTCACTCAGTTCCAGAGACTTCGGAGAAGAGACCTTCTATGCACTAGAGAAGAGCGGGTGGTGGCTGAAGGGCCGGCAGAGCGTTGAGGCCAGGCAAATAGGGGAGGACCTGGAAATCCCGGAATTCCGCGCTTAGCTTACCAGGCTGCGTCTAGGGTTCGGTCCCCACAGCTGCAAAGCGGGGAAAGGCCTGTGCGGAAAGTTTAAGCCTGGACAGAAGGAAACTATCGAGCGTCTTCTCTGTGCTCAGAGTTGTACTGACACTGGGCACTCAGAGATGACAATACGTAGCCAACGCCTTCGAGAAGCTCGAAGTCTGGTGGCTGTATGGGATGCGACAGAGCTCCCCACGAGGCTGGGGAAGAGGGCATGAGATGGAAAGGGTGTGCGAGTGACCGTACAAAAGAAGATCTTAGCCCAGCCCTGGAATAAAAGAAGGCTTCTCAGAGAAGATGAAGCCTTGAAAGAGACCTGAGGTACGCACAGGAGTTAGGCAGAAGGAGAGGGGAAAGCCTTCTGACAAAGGGCGGGAGCCATAGAGAGGAGCGCGCCATCTTGGACCTTGCTGGGGCGCTGGGGGATAAGGGACAGGTTAGATGTGGATAGGCTCGTCGTGACCTCCGAGGTCGTGACCTCTTTCACGTCTACAGGAACCGCGACGGTTTACTGCCAGGATCCCTGTTGCTCAGGGGTCTGGATATTAGGTTTAGGCGGGCACGCCGCGTGCTTCGGGAAACTACTCTGCGTAAAGACGCGCGTACTGCGGCTGCCCGCGGATTCTCTAGGCAAACGGAAAAGCGGAAAGGCCACATGCCACGTACGTCTCCAGCCCCGGAGAGTGGCCTGGTGGACTGGAGACAGATAAAGGCCCCGAGCTTCGGATAAAGCAGGAGGTACGTTTAGGCGACTTTTGTCCTAAGGCTTGTTCCGGGGTGACCAAAGCCGCTGATTCTCCTCAGGGGCCACCTCTCCAGGACTTCTGTCCCGTGGCCTAAACCTGGTTGGCAGAGCATAGAGGGACGCGCAGCACAAAAGAAGGTAAAGGCTGGAGACAGCACCAGGCCAGGCCCTGGGATCACGGGAACTCATCTCCGGGGCTCTAAGGAGTCCTGAATAAACCCGTGGCCAACTAGCACAGTGTAAGGGGTGTACGCGGCTGCGCAGTTCGCCTAGGGGATCCGCCAAGATGCCGGGCCGGAGTTCCCTCGCAACGCGGAGTTCCAAGGCTCAAAGCCAAGAAACGCAGGGGAGATACCAGAGCCCGCCAGGGTCAGTGCAGCCTGACCGTGGCATCCTGGGGCTCCGGAACCCTGGGACGTCAAGCTATGCTCTGCCCACAAACTGCCACCCCCAGCATTTCGAGCCCTTAACTAATCCGCTCCAGACTCTTGGACTGAGAACTAGGGCTGAGCGCGAGGTGTTTAGAGAGGAGCGTGGTTAGTAGTAGGAGGAAGAATGTGAAGAACTGAAGTGGGGCGCGCGCCTGCGGGGAGTTGTGTGAGGGCAACCTGGAAGCTGGAAAGAGAGAAAGGGTCTGAGACCCTGTGCCAGATCCCCTCCTCGAGCAGTTCCCAAGAGGTTGGTTTGCATGAACCTAAACCTCTGTGCGTGGGTTTGGTTTCCCTTGAGGATTGCGGTGTGAAAATGTGGCGGCTCCCTGCCGATGCTGGACCTCTCTGCAGACCTGAGTATTTCTGTCACTCCTTCCCCAAGTCATCGAAATCTCCCGGTGGAACTCGAATCGCCTGGACCTCTGTGAACGCCCCGCTCAATCCGCAGGCTAGTTCCACCTAATAGAGGTTGCCTGCGACTCGTAGAAACCCTCCCCGGACTGGACTGAAAAGCACTCTACTTCCTGGTACCCTAAACGAAATGAAACTTTCAAAGAAAACAGAAGCGGGGGGGCAGGACAGAGATCGGCCCGGGGCCGAGAGGAGTGTAAAGACTGTGCACGTGCTTGCAAACCAGGCTGAGATGACGCCTTTGTCGCGAAATGTACACTCAAGGAGGCCAAGTTTCTGATCAGAGCCTAAGTGAATCAAGAACAGGCATGAGAATCAGTGTTCCAGTGCGGTTCATCTGCATGGCAGGTTTCGATGGCTTCAATAGTCTTGCCGAGAATTCCGCGTTTGGCTGCAGCACCATCAAATCTGCAAAAGCAGCTCTGCGTGGGGTGGGAAAAAAAAGTAGGGGTTTTCAAATCTTATACACCTGGCGTCACTGCTTCCCACTAGAGGCACTTTTTGCAAATCACTTAGCCTTTCTCAGTCTTAATTTCCTAATCTGTAAAATGGGCATAGTGCCCACCTCTCTGAAGAGCGCGCTAAAGGTGAGAAACGCCACGCGTCTTTCTAACTGGAGGAAGAAGCAAAGCCTTCGCCTAAAACTTGATGCACTGCACGCTGAAGAAAGACTCCCTAAAGAAACACTCCCTGCCTCCCTGTTCTCTGCCTGGTTCTCCCCCACCCCCAACCCCTCCAAGCCCGCGGAGCCGTGCGCAGTTCGGGTCCGTCTTCCCGAGAGAGGCTAATGCAAAAGCGAATAAGCCTGGAACACACGCAGGTCCTGCTGGGCCTGGGACAATGGTTTCCATTTAATAAATATTTCCCCCGAGGGCATTTCACATTGGGCAGGCAATTATTCAAAGGAAACAGGCGCGCAGGTTGGATCTGCGGGTTATTTCGTCCTCTTTACCCGAAGAATGCTCATCTGACGCAAGAACCGAGTCTTGCGTTCTCACTGGGTGGGAAGAAGTGCCCAGGGACAAACCGACCTTGGGTGCGGGTACAGCCTGAGACTCCGCTCTAAAGTTGCTGCAGAAAGGGCGACAGGAAAGCCCCCAGCCTGGCCGCGCGCCTGCCAGGCTTCAGGCTGCCCTTGCGGTTGGGGCAGATATGGAGGGCAAGTTGGAGGTTTAAAAAAACTAAACATAAATAGGAATCGTGATGGAAATCCCATACCCGCGCCCTCCACGGTGAAGAGTGGATCGCGGTGCTCTTCAAGGCTCACCAACCGGGGCTGAAATCTCTGCACTGCGGTACGCCAGGCTTTCCGGCATCGGCTTGGAACGCGCCGCTGAGCTAGACCCGGACCCAGCGCTTGGACCTGGCGCTGCATCATGGGGTAGGGGTAGAGGCGGAGCCGCAGGGGCGTCCCATGGGAACGCCGCCGGAGGACTGCCGAGGATATGGCGCGAAAAGTTTATTTCGCTTTTTAACCTGCGTATGATATATTCTTTTTCTCTTCCAAGGATCTTTGACAAGGGGGAAAAGTGTTGTCCTTGCATTTTGTGGCGAAGCTGTCCTATGTATCAACACGCGCTCTCCGCTCGCTCCCCTTGCTGCCCACCTCCCTGGGTCTTTGTATTCGAAGAGTTAATTCCCCTTTGCACAACCAGGAAAGGACACAGGCATGAAGAGTTTTATTTGTTGACAGTGCCAAAAACAATGTGGAATCCAAGTCCCCAGTCTTGCGCTGACCGCTCTGTTCTCTTCCCCATCTCGGTTTCTCTCTCACACCTCTCCCCGCCCCCACCAGTCGCGCTCCCTCTTGCCTCCGCCCGCGCGTTGGCAGGTGCGCCCCCTCGCCTTCTCTGCTGCTGATTGGCGACCAGGTTGGGGAGTCACCGCCCCGCGCTTATGTCAGAGTGCGTGCCGTCCGGGCCCACCTCGGCTTTGAACTTCGCCGCTTTTGGCTCGCGTACACCAGACACCCCGCATTCTCAGCCAGGTGCTGCGCTAGGCAAGGCTGCTCCGGGAAAGCCACGGGAGGGGGGAGGGAGCCACGGCCGTAGACACAGGAGAGAAGAGAACCAGAGAAGGCGAAGGTGGAGAGGGGGGAGAAGGAGGAGCTTCCTGCCCTCTCCAGCAAATTACCTGGCCACTTAATCCCAGAGACTCCGGTACTTGGGCCCCAGGCTCTGGTGCCAGCAGCCCCCCGGCCGGCCGCCCTCTCCTGCCCCGCCCTTCCTGCCCCCACGAGCCCCCCGGGGCCTGCCTGTGTGCCGAGACTGGCATGATCAGCTGAACTTTGCGGGGTTAGTGCTTCTCTCTGGGTTCCCCTCAGCGGTGCGGAGGCGAGGGGAGCTCAGAGCGCCGGCTCGGGACGGACAGACAGGCAAACAGACGACCGCGCGGAGGCTCGCCTGAAGAGTCCCTGCACTCCCCACCCCCACCCGCCTAGCCTCCGGGACCATGTCCAAACCTTCAGACCACATCAAGCGACCCATGAACGCCTTCATGGTATGGTCCCGAGGCCAGCGACGCAAGATGGCCCAGGAAAACCCCAAGATGCACAACTCAGAGATCAGCAAACGCCTAGGCGCCGAATGGAAGCTTCTGTCCGAGGCAGAGAAGAGGCCGTACATCGATGAGGCCAAGAGGCTACGTGCCCAGCACATGAAGGAGCACCCAGACTACAAGTACCGGCCACGGCGCAAGCCCAAGAATCTGCTCAAGAAGGACAGGTATGTCTTCCCCCTGCCCTACCTGGGCGACACGGACCCGCTCAAGGCGGCCGGCCTGCCCGTGGGGGCCTCCGACGGCCTCCTGAGCGCGCCCGAGAAAGCCCGGGCCTTCTTGCCGCCCGCCTCGGCGCCCTACTCCCTGCTGGACCCCGCGCAGTTTAGCTCGAGCGCCATTCAGAAGATGGGTGAAGTGCCCCACACCTTGGCCACCAGCGCGCTGCCCTACGCGTCCACCCTGGGCTACCAGAACGGCGCCTTCGGCAGCCTGAGCTGCCCCAGCCAGCACACGCACACGCACCCGTCCCCTACCAACCCAGGCTACGTGGTGCCCTGTAACTGTACCGCCTGGTCTGCCTCCACCCTGCAGCCCCCCGTCGCCTACATCCTCTTCCCGGGCATGACCAAGACTGGCATAGACCCTTATTCGTCAGCCCACGCCACGGCCATGTAACCCCCAACCGGGTCTGCCAGACGTGGAGGGCGGCCTGGATGCGGGGTCTGCACCCTGTCCTCTGCGCCTAGCCCGGGCCTGCAGATGCCTAGGGGGCCAGCCCTGCCGGCTGCTTCCTACCCTACCCCAGACTCTGCCTCTCTCTTCCAGGGGGATGGTTGGGGCTTCCTACCGGACCCAAGGCGCAGACAGGTGCCAGAAACTTGCGAACGTTATGACAGCTATACAGTTGCCCCTACCCCAACTGTCCCAAAACAAATCTCCAACTGTACCCCTTTTGGACAAAAAAAGAAAAGAAAAGAAAAGAAAAGAAAGAAGTAGGCAGTTTGCTTTATTTATGTACCTTCTCTTTCCTCTGCTGGGCTTTGGACTCCAGAACTCCCAAATCTTGGTATTATATCTAGAATATGCATATTTTTTCTTTTGCACCCTGAAGAAAAGAGTTAGCTCTGTGTTTTGCCATCAGACACAACTAGGTGCCATTTGCTCTTCATTTGTGGAGGAAAGGCTTAAAATTTAAAACTACAGAAAGGGAAACATTTCTATTTAAAATCATGCTATGGTAGTGTTTGCTTCTTTAAAGGTAAAACAAAAGGACCCACATGGTTATTTACTTTGTATAAAGCAGTGCTCCTAGAGATCTAAGTTTACTTTTAGACAGAATGTCGGGTTATGAAGTCAGGAAGTAGAAAGTGAACAAAAATTAAAAGAATAAAAACATCCTAAATGGTCATAAATGTTTTGACGATGTCTTGGAAATGTATCTAGAAGGATTTCATCTCCTTACTCTGTTCATTTGTTGAACAAAGACGTTTTGAATAAAGACAATCTGTCACTGCAAAAAGTAACCTTTGATGTGCATAAAATCTGAAGTCAGGAGGCCAGGACCGCGGGCGGGAGGGTTGGGTCGCTGGGAGGCTGAGATGCGTGAGTGACTCTAGCTGTGGCGGCAGGTAGCTGGCCTGCGTTGGCTGAGACTGGTGGCCTCCAGGCTGGGTGCAAAGGGGCCCAGAGTCTGGAATTTGTCCAGACAGCACGCCCTTCAGATCCGCTTTTTGCCTTTAGAGGCTAGACAAAGGTATCCGTCTCTGGGATGTCACTCCTTCCCTACATTCTTCACAAAGTAGTCAGACCACTTCAAGGAGCGAATGAGCTAAAACAAAGGCTGACCCATTGGTCTGGGTGCATTTTCTTTTTTTAAACCAAACTCCGAAGGAATAGAGAGAATCGGAGTCTATTGGGAACCAGTTGGGTCTCAAGCCCCAGTCTTGCTGTGGGGATTTAAGTTCAATGCATGGGGAGAAGACCAGGGAATCGAGTTGGGTTTTTTTGTTTTTGTTTTTGTTTTAAGTCTTTGGGACTCAATACTGGTTCCTGAGTTAAAAAATAAATGTGAGGCAGTGGGAGAGTTCTTACTAAGACCCTGCAGGAGCAAAAGAAAAAGGAAGTCCATAGTGACACGGCTGGGGCAAGGAGTTTGTAAAAAATCATAAAATTCAGTAACTCGTAGCCCTCAGTGTTTAACAAACAAGGAAAAGGACCTTTCCTTTCCCCCACTGGGTGAATGTTAGCTTGAAGATGGCTGTTTTTCGTAGGAGAGAAAGGGCCTTCTGATGCCTTTCAGCACAACTCTTTAGAACTTGTTCTCAAAATCGAAGGGTGCTATCCCCAGTCCCCTGTCTCACCCCAGTCTCACCACCAAAGCCGCGCTCACATGTGCTTTTCAGTACATAGTGTGCTTTCCCCCACTGGCTTTAATGCGGTGCGGGATGAGGCTGGGTGGGTGGGAGGGGGCAGCCTAGTGGCTTTTCTGCTTTCTGCTGCTGCTGAGGGATTTGTGCGCTTGCCTCTGCGGTTTCCAAAGGAGTCAGTGGCTGGAAGTGCACGGGAAACGTTGTCAACAGACACCAAAGCTGAAACCCACGGATTAGCATATTGTCTTCAAAACAATTAGAAGTGTTTGAGGTGTTATTTGGAGCCTATTCATCCGAGTCCCTTTGTCAAAGGGGGGTTTTCATTATTAAAAAAAAAAAAAAAAAGTTAGCAGTTGTCCATCTGGCTGAGCTGAATAGCAAAGTGATCCGTGTTGTATATGCTTTTCTCATTAAGAGCTCTTTTGAGACCGATGTTAGAATTAAATGGTATAATACAATTAACATACACGGGCGCTGAATAGGAGGGGACGCCTATAAATAATAGATAGATAAATAAATGAGCGATCAGGCGAAGGTAAACAAAGGCGGACTGGGGGACGCTCGGGGGGAGGCCGGGCGGGCTGCGCCACGCTTACTTAGCATCACAAAACCCTCTTACAATTCGAGACAATTAGTAAGTGACTTGCCTCTGGTGGCCGTCGGGTCTGGAGGCTCCGGGCGCTTAGGGAAGACCCCGCCCCCGCCCCCTAGGAAGCCCAGGGGGCCTAGGGCGGAGGCGCCGCGGTTTTGCTGTCTGATATAACCCCAACTGACAGTCCTGTCAGCCACTCTGATCTCCCTCATAGCTCAGTGTCCCCTAACATCTCCTAAGATGAAGCTTACAGGGGTCTGGGTGTCTCCCCGCAGAGCCTGGCGCTCCAGCGCCCTGGGTGCTCAGAGTACCCAAGCAAGGGAGGACCTGGAGCGCTCCGCCCCACCAAGGCGCCCAGCCTTCTCCTTGGAGGGCTTAGGCTGGGAAGGGGAACCAGGTGGGTCGGAGTGAGGAAGGCTTCGGGCGGCGGTGGAAGCCGGAAAATTGAAACCAGGGTTCCAGATTGCGCCTGACCTTGCGGACTCGAAGGGAGCTCCAGGAAACGGGTGCGCTGTAGCGGGGAAGCGCTTGTGTGCGGTGGCTGGGCGACTGAGATTTCTCTCTAGGCAGAGAGCAGGGGACCCAGCTTAGGTCCCGGGACCTAACGCCGCAGGCCTAGCTCGAGTCGTTTCTGCCTAGCATACCTCATCTCCTTCCTTCCGAGTCGGGTTTTGTCCGGCTGTCTACTCTCCTTCGGTCTGGTCCCCACCTGGGCCCCGAAGGGCCTGCCTCAGCCTAGCCTCCCGCGCCCCGGGGCCTCAGAGTCTCCGCCGAGGTGTGCGGCAGGGACTCGCCCTAACAAACAGCCCAAATCCTGCTCTTCACGCCGCTGACAGGGGCCTATTACTGACTTTGAAGTCAGGCGCAGACAAAAAGAAATCCCCCCGGGGGTGTGCGGAGGGGTGGCGGGGGGGAAGCAGTCCCTGTCAAACCTGTTTGCTCACAACTGTCTCTTTCTTTCAAGAAAATCATTAAAGCAAACCTGTAGGGAGAGGAGCGCCCCGCCCGCCCGGAGTCAAGGATAACCGATTCTCCCCAGCGCGCGACGCGCAGCCAAGAGCCAAGAGTCTCCTTCGACAGACTTGGCGTGGTCGCGAACTCCAGCCGCGGCGCGGGGCGCCGGGGACTCTGCAACTCCGTGCACCCCTCTGCATTTTGCTCGCATCCCGCCTTAGGGGGCGTTAGGGAGGGCCCGGCGTCTAGCCTGAGGGTGCGATTGTTTCTGGGGAACAAAAATATTTAACCCTATGACGTGCCACGCTCGCCCCCACCTCTTCTCTCCTGGGTGCTTCCCAGGAATGCGGAGACCTGACCAACACACTGCTCCAGGTGGCAACCGGCGGCGCTGGCGCGGAAGGGACAGAGTCGTTTGGGGTTTAGTTGGGTTTCCTTTCTTAAACCTTGGCAACCATTGGCTCAGGCTCACACTGGGAGATGTGATCGTAGGTCCCCTTCCTCTCTTGGCCTTTCCTGCAGAGCTTCTGCAGCCTTTCATGCGATTTTCCAGCTTTGGATCCGACTCCAAGAACATTTGATCCCCTTCCAGTTTCCGAGTTTTTCTGTTTCTCTTTAAATATCAATTTCCTTAGAACCGCTAACTTTACAGATTGGAAAGACCAGCTACCTAGAGTAAATTATACTGTGGTGCAAGTGACTGACATCTGAGACCCCCTTAACATTTGCATTGTAAAACAGGCTCTAGATAACCTCTAGGAATCTCAAGCCACCTAAAGCAGGATGATATTTCAGTCAGGATAGGACCTAGAGGACTTTCATGACTTCACACTATCTAAGGAAGCGTCTGCCCCGCGGGCACCTTCTCTGGAGGGCTCCGAGACTGCCAGGGCCCTGAAAACTTGGCGAGCGGTGGCGCCAGGACTGCCCCAGAGGACTCCCGTTTCCTTCGGCTCCTTCCCAACTCAGGCCCTGTTCCTATTGTTCAAACAGACAGTGAATTTCAAGTAATTTGAATTTGGTTATCTCGTAATTCACAAGATTAGTATTAAGACCTCTCATCTCTATTCGCTCAGCTGATGTGTACGTCTGCGTGTGAGAGGAAGACAGGTAGAAGGGATCCATAGATTTGGGTGCAGAAGATGCCGAGGTGGGTGCATCCCGGCTCCGCCGACGGACGCGCCCTCCTAGCCTCTGGCCCTACCCTGGCCTCGTAGACCCTCACAGACCCAGTTGGAGGTGTGCTACTTGGGCTGGTTTCTTTCTTGGCGCTATGGGGATGAGCCTTGTCCTGGAACCAGTCACATTGGCACTGGGTCGCTGCAGAGTCATTAAGAAAATAATGAAGTTGAGGGCGGATGGGGCCACTAGAAATCCTGGGGTGTCGACACAGAACCAGAGACTCGCTGTCGTCCCCGCCTAACCCCCGCTGTGCCGCGCCTTGTGCCGGCCGCTTGGTAGTGTTCGCCCTGGAGGCGGCAAGGGGGGACTAAAGGCGATAAGAGGGAGTCTTGACACCCCCTCCTCGCCCTGTCCCCCGCCCTGCGCCCAGGTGAGGTCACCCGCGGAATCCTGTCTAGTCGCTGGGGTCAGGGTGTGGGAATCGCGCTCTCAGGAAACAGGAAGGACCACGGTCCCGGGACGTTTTCGGACAGCCTCCCCAGATGCTCCATCCTTTTCGCTTGAATCACTGCTCTGGGTATCCCAAAAGGCCCCGGAGAATTTGGTCTGAGTTGGAGAAGGGAGCGGGTGCTCACAGAGCGGGTTCCAACAGAGACGGAAAGGAATACGAAAGTTTTATCTT